ATAGATAGATAGATAGATAGATAGATAGATAGATAGATAGATAGATACTTCGTATGACTGATCAACCAATGTAAATGTTTTTGTAAAATTAATTATATTGTGCAATTGGTTAGGGGGATGCAAGCCAACTATTTAAAGTTCATCGTTTTTTCATGTTGCAAAATTCCTGGGCCAAGGAAGTTCAAGTTACCTGATTATTATGAACAGGCAGTAGGGCAATGATATTCACAAAGGATAACCAGCATGGGAAGCAATGTTTATCAAGCTATGTGCATGCAGGGTTTCTTAATTGGATCCTCTCATACCCTTTAGAATTAGATGCATGCTTCTCAGAAATATTTTTCTTAGTGCTGTCCAAATTTGGTGGTTTTCTTGCAGATGTTTCATTACCAAACTAGGTAACATCAGTGCTAGCAGTTCAATCCTGAGCTACAAATATTCTCTATCAGTGTCTATGTTGCATTTACATATTAAGTGTCTAAGTATGTACTGAGTTGCAGGCTTATATTCAACAAAGTTGGGAAAGCAAACTAGTAAATGTTCCTCCTGTTCCATATTTTATTATTGATTCTCCTATCAATCTCTGTTATCAGAGCAGAGTGCTTTACATGTAACTAATTCCAGCAACCCGTGTGGTAAATTGATCTCAGCAAGCAGAAGTACCTGTCAAGTTTGTCTGGACTTAGAAACTAAACATATTGTAATTGCCTTTATTTTGGGAAACCAACAGCAAATACTACATCTGTCATCTTGACTAGGAAGGCCCCCCAAAATGGAAAAAGATAAAGGCATTTTTGTATACCTGGCCAGAAAACTAAGTGAATGAATTCGTGAACTAATCAGGATTTGAGACAGACTTGAAGTTACCTTTTGTACTATACAACTTAATAGAGCATTTACCTCCTCCTGGGGAAACTCCTCCAGGACTATATAGCAGGATTTCATAAACCAAAATAATGATGAATAAAAACACTCAGGAGAACAATATTCTTCAGAGATTATAATGTAATTTCTCTTATTGCTAAGAGAAATAAGATGGCCCAACATTTGATCTGGACTTGTATAAGGTTTGGGGACAAAGATAGTTAAAGTAAAGCCCAATGGAAGTATATGCAAATACTACCACAGAAGACCATGCAGTCATAACCACAAAACACAAAAGGTGGTTTTGCCTAACCAAATAGTAGTTTAAATATTGCTGAGCAACATGCCATAATGGTGAGAATGCCCACACATCTTTAACCATGGGTTGCCTTGCTGTGGTTTGCTGAATGAATTAGCATTTTAATTGGCTAAGAACAGATAATACGGACAAGGTTGGTTCAAATACATTTAACCCAAATCAAACAAGCCACATGATTTAGCATGTTGTAAATACTCAGTCAACACCTGTTCATAATATACTAAATTATAGACTTGAAACAAAAGGTATCACTGGAACCCAGACAATTATAGTATATTCAAAGAATTTTGTTTAAGAAACTGAAGTCATCTTGTGAACATAGGCATTCTGGTCTATGTCAACAGAATATAATTATAAACATGAAAACCTGAATTAAAACCCATTTTGAGCAACAGTAATTAACTATTGATTCTAACTTGCCTTTTAAATTTTACTTCTTTTCTAGTATTGTTAACAGTAATTGGATCAATAGATTTTTATCATGAGAATCCCTGTTTGCGTATTGTTAAAAGCTTCATTTGCTTATTTATAATGTATCTAACAACAAAAGCATGGCTAACTTCTCAGTGATTTGGTGTCAGATCCAACAAACAAAGAATAACCTCAGTTTGCCAGAAGGGGGTATCTTGGGCAGCATACTTGCAACTTTGCAGCATCAAGTCAATTGTTATTTCTTGCTTTTCTAAGTGTTATAAATAAGTTTAGGGTGTAAACAGGAACAATCCCTATGGAACTGTGAGAACCAGCTTTCTTGAGTAGTTATTTGTTTTAGTATTTTTCTAAAGCATGTTTTCCTGGGCTTTTGTCCACTTCTTCAGAGGCATGAAGTATTTTTGCAAGTGGTGTTGATACTGAAAGCCACAAGATACCAACTCCTTGCTGCTTTTTGCAGCCTAGATCTCTTTTAAAGCATTGAAGAACCTGAACAGTTTCTGCCCAAGGGCCTAATGGGCCAGAGATGGTATTCAGCAGGTTCTGACCAATTCTGGAGAACCAGTAGCGGAAATTTTGAGTAGTTCGGAGAACCGGAAAATACCACCTCTGACTGGAGATTTTACAATATCCTTCCCCTGCCATGCCCGCCAAGCCACGCCCACAGAACCGGTAGTAAAAACATTTGAATTCTACCACTGTAATGGTTGGAATTACTGCTGACAGATGGAGAGAGGTTGGGCGTTTTTCTATTTCACTTTCTTGTCACAGAGCAGGAAAATAAAAAAGAATCAGTATAGTTGGAGAAACCTTATTGCAAAGGCAATCTAATATCTATGTTAATGCTTGGAAGAGAGCTAACCTCTCTTCTAAAAAAAAGCCAAGCCTCTTTTCCAACTTCAGGCTCAGCAATTTCTAGATGAAGGCAAATTATGCAGTAAATATCTGAACTTAAACTATGTTTATTCACAATTTGGTTCTGTTGGCTATGTTTATATAATACACTCAATCACTTTAAAAACTAAATAAATGTGTGCTAAAAATAATGAGCCATAGTGGTGCAGTGGTTAGAAAGCAGTATTGCAGGCTATTTCTGCTGACTGCTGGCTGCCAACAATTTGGCAGTTTAAGACTCACCAGCTCAGGGTTGACTCAGCCTTCCATCCTTCCAAGGTCAGTAAAATGAGGGCCCAGATTGTTAGGGGCAATATGCTGACTCTCTAAACCAGGGGTCTCCAACCACCGGGTCCCGGACCGGTACCGGTCCATGGAACATTTTCTACCGGGCCGCCAGTTTGCTGGGCGCCGCCATCTTGTTTCAATGAGAAAGTGCTTCCGGGTGAGCTTTTCCGGTTGGAAAGTGGCATTTGGGTCCTGAAGGAATCCTCGCGCCTTAGTTTCATCGAGGGGGGGGGCGGCTTCAAACGAAACTAAGGCGCGAGGATTCTTTCAGCACCCAAGGCAAGGCGAGCCGAGCGACCGTCCCGAAGCCGTCCCGAAGCCCATCGACAAAGGTACAAAGGAGGAGTTGAAGGTGGCGGGGAGAAGCGGGGGATGGCTGGCTGGCCGGTCGCTCGGCTCGCCTTGTCATGCGTGCTGATGCCGGTACCAGGCTGCGGATCATTTTGTGATGCCGGTACTGGGCCGTGGCACAAAAAAGGTTGGGGGCCACTGCTCTAAACCACTCAAAGAGGGCTATAAAGCATTGTGAAGTGGTATATAAGTCTAATTGCTATTGCTACCCGAGTATTACAGAGTTGTGAAGCTAGGTGTGTGATGTGTACTTACATTAGAATTTGGTTTCATATTCTGCTTTCTGTAGTCCAACAATTGAAACTGCTCTGCATTTGGATGACAGAATGAGTCTAATCTTGTATTAGGAGTAGAATGTGGGATAAGATGCCACAATATGGGTACTAATTTATCCTGTTATAGAGGCTTAGCATCAGAACCAGTTCAGTACTTAATGTGATACCCCAGAAACGGAAAATTCCTTTTCAGCCCTAGGAACAGCATAGTATAATAGCAAAATGCTTCTGAAAGTGTTGCCTAGAAAACTGCATGTCCATGTAACTATCAGGGGAAAAAATCTTGTTTCAAAATCTTGTTTGAAAAAAATAACGGAGAAGCATGTCATGCAAATATTGACATTTTTTCCAGCAGAATTTTCCCACAAACAAGTACCCTTGAGGAAATAGTTTTATGTCCTGTTCTGGTAAGACACTTATAGTAAGTCAACAATTATGGTAATCTTTAAGTAAAAAATTAAGTGGACTTTGGAATGGAATGGAATGGAATGGAATGGAATGGAATGGAATAGAATAGAATAGAATAGAATAGAATAGAATAGAATAGAATAGA